TAGGCGTCTGTCGATTCATCAAATAATACTTTGCAAAAAACAAACGGGCTAACCGCAAACGTCCGTGCCGTATAGCGTGAATAACCCTGTATATCCAATAATTTTTATCAGAGAATAATTTAATTGAAAGCAATAATTTAAAAATATTGTAAAATACAGTATGCTTTCTATTTTAAAAGAGAAATATGTTGATTAGAAGTGGCTATTAGCTTTCGCTTGCAAGTGACACATCCAAAGGCCTGTACTTAAAGGAGATATAATTGAAATATTAATAAAACACTGTTCTGGAGTAAAATGTGTTTTTTTTTGGAGGTCTGGAACTTTGAACTGAACTAAAACTCATCAAAATGATGTTAATTATTTTCACTTTTAAGAAATAATTTTGATAAGATCCAAGTGCTGTATGATGGTATAAAGCAAGAAGTCACAATCGAAGAACACGACGTGCCAGACTTGGTAAAATTGGAAAGTAAACCATTTGAAATGTTCGAACTGGAACCTATGGAAAAGTTAAAAACTAATCAAAAAGCAAATGCCTCGACAAATCTCCACAAGTGTAAGATTTGTAGTAAGACATTTGTACGTGGAGGAAATTTGAAGTCGCATTTGATCTCTCATTCAGAGGTGCGCCCTTATGAGTGCGACATTTGCAATGTGAAGTTCAAAAGGCAGCACAACCTAATTATTCATAGAAATAAGCACACAAAGGAAAAACAGTACGACTGTAACATTTGTAACAAAAGTTTCTTCTCTTCAAATAATTTGGGTTCACACTTAGTCACTCACTCAGATGAACGCCCTTTTAAATGCGATATTTGCAATTTCAGATTCAAAGTCAAATCGCACCTAACGGTTCATCGAAATAAGCATACGAAAGAAAAACAGTTCAATTGCACTATTTGTCATAAAAGCTTTCTATCGACGAGTAACTTGGGATCCCATTTGGTCAGTCACTCTGACGAATGGCCTTTTCAATGCAATATTTGTAATTTGAAATTTAAACAAAAGCGACATTTTAATTCGCATCAACTTAAGCACGCGAAGTAGAAGCAATAAACATAAAAAACACGCTAGAAGTAATTGACAATTACGATTTAATAATTGCGGTTTAGATCCAAAAAATGGTTACCTGATACTTATTTAGGTACAAAAAAATAATTGTAGTAAAATGCATTATGGACAAACCAAAGTAAGCCACAGGTCACTAAAAAAATGAAACTTCAATTGAATAACTTAATTTGTGAGTTTATTAAAAATTATTTAATATTATTTACTAAAAAAACTGGTCAAATTACTTGATCCAGTTACTATTCTATCCATTGATCAAATATAGCGACTTACATCAATATTTGTTCCTTGCCTCAATAATCCTTGCCTAATTTTGAAGTGTGCTAAGTGAATAATAACTGTGTCAATATTTTTTGTTAAAAATTAATTTTAAAGTTTACGTTTGAAGTGGTGTGTGATCCCTCTTTGAAAAAAAAAACACATCAGCAGCAGCACCAAACAAATCTCGCTTCTTTAAGTTCCAAACAGGAAAATATTGAGAGAGTGACTTAACTTAAGCTCGCAAGACAAAACACAGAAAAAATATGAGTAGAAGCTCTTGAAGTATGTAAAACCCAATTCCTTGGTAGAAATTAGTCTCATTACAAAACATGAAATAAATTCAAGAATAATCTGTAATATAAGGTTGTGTAAATTGAATTATATTTATCATTATGAATTAATTATAATTATCGCTCAAGGAAGTTTTCATTTTTCGAAATTTGGATAAGTAAATGTATTTATTCGATGCAACATAAGGGAGAAACGAATTATGGTCACAACAGTTAAAATTTTTAATTAAAAGTCTTTTTGTTTACAATGTTCAGATTACTAGTGAACTAAAACACAATTCTAAACGATCATAAAAAAATGGAAACACCTTTTTTGACTTTTGGTGTTTGCTTGACTGGACAATGGATGGAAATGGGTTAAAGATTGTAGCATTAATGCGTAAATATATTTAACTAGTGCAGAAATTGTATTCATTAATAATTTTAATGATAATATCCCGAAATTTTTGTTGATGCTTAATAAAATTCCAAAATCATGGAATTCAATTAAAAATGCAAATCAAAGTGAACATTAATATGTAACAATTCATATAACTGATTCACTAAAAAAAATTAGCAATTTGAAAGTCGAGAAACAGTTTTTAGATTCAAACTTGGTAAAGTTGATAACTTTGTTAATTGTATCCCTGTTACTGAAATTATTGTTTTATTACTGTTATTATTAAAATTCATCAGCGTTTTTGAAATAAATTGTAATTATAACGGTCTACTGTTTATAAAGAATGATTTTATACCGCAGCTGCAATAAATATAATCAAGCGCGATTTAGTATAAGCTTGTACAAAAAAGTATTTGTTAATTACAAATGTTAAAACCTTAGGTTAAGCTGATTGGGTTTGTAGCTTAGTATTATTATTGGGATTAATTTAAAAAATTTTAAATTGTTTTTATTTTACAAAAATACATACTGCATCCCATTTAGATATTACCAGTGTTGTTGCTGTTTATGTCTTTTGGTGAGTTGTAGATAAAACTACACATCAAACTGTAGAGCAAGAACGGCTCATGCGATTGAGAAACACATTTAAACCCTTAGTTGGAAGGAAGCAAATGAAGCCAAAGATTAGTTCCTTTTAACCGATTTCTTATGTTTTTAGGCAACAAGCTGATATTGGTCGGTCTTACAACTTGGAAATAAAAGATGAACTTGATATTGACGAATTCGACATTCCCGATTTCGTAAACATAAAAGAAATAGGGGACATCGGCGAAGATATGGGAAGAAAATCGAACAACGACAATGATTTCGCTAGCACTTTATCCGCCGACACATATCCATCTCAATACATCATCAGTGAGGAAAATACGAAAAATTTTGAATGCATCGTGTGTCATAAACTATATAAATCTCAAACAACTTTGAGACGCCATCAGAACATTCACACAAAGGCAAAGGAGTACAATTGTAAGATATGCAAGAAGACGTTTTACTATAAGACTTGTCTATCACGGCACGTTCTAATTCATTCAAGTGAACAACCTCTTAAGTGCGATTTGTGTAATTCGAAGTTCGATTTGGAAAGCAGTTTAAGGGAGCATCTAATTCGACATGCCAATAGCAAGCAGCCTCAAAATAATTGAAGTTTATCTTCTATTTTGATCATGCACTTRTTTGCTTCTATCGTAGGTTTATCTTCAGATTCCTTTGGATTTGAATTGCGATTSAAATGAAATATTTTCGGCAAGTGACTTCRAAAACGTTAATGTATGYGTTTAACTAGCGCAAATTAAAWATSAAAAAAAATTGTTGTGGAAGAGCACCCGCGATCGAGCGACTTTTGCAGGGCGAAARATTTCTCTGACAATGGAAATCAATATTTTAAATACAGTCGCGCACATGAGCGRCTTTTTGTAGCCGCTACTGAAGACTGGGGGCGACAGGGGCCGRAAATGGAACTTGTTCCATTGAAGACAAAATAGTTTGTGTTTTGTCGGCGATCGCAGMRAATTTTGTCTCTTACTGACCCTGGATGAGTTTTTTGAAAAAGTCACTTAAAAAGAAATTTCTGGAAGTTTCCCTGAAATTTTTCAGWTACTAAGGCAAGTCAACTGAYCGTTGTTAAAAAGGAGTTCAAAGATTSGTCAAGGAAAAATAAAAAAATTCCTGAATGCACTCTGAATAACAGCACTCGAAAGAGAAAATCGGTTGCCTTAAGTGAKGGAAAACTCACTTGATTAGACAATTTCTGGGATATTTCAGGATATTTTCAAATTTTTCAAAAATTTTACAWGAAAAAGCCSAAAATCCCACTGAAATKTGGTGAAATTGTCGAGCTTCAAAAGTCGCTCGTCTGCGGGTGCCCTAATATGCRCTCTTTTCATGGCATTAGTTGTAYTARCTCTAGTTAATGTCTAGGATTTAGTTAATTAGCTTATTAAGGTTTGTCTACTTTAGTTGTTGACCRGTTGGTCTAAATATTMATTTTACAATTTAKAGGGGCCGTAATATTAAACAGTCAGGGATGTTCTTTGGTACTACTCATCAAAATTACTCATTRGAAATGTTTGCTASATAGATCTGAACTATATCTAATGTAAATATTCCARCGATAAATAAACTRCATTAAAAATASACGTGCTATGAAGCTCAAAATRTTCTTTCAATTTGAATGTCCCAAAAAAYTACTAAACAATATTGTTAACTGATACTTTTCATTTTCAGCTGTCACGTTGGTAAAATTCAACAGTTTTTCGATGAATTAAAGGGAGAAGTAAAAATCGAAGACCACGACTTGGCTGAACTCGTAAAATTGGAACGGGAAGCTAATTACATTGATAAACTCAAAGACCCCAAAAGTGTGCTTGTAGAAGAAAAGCTATGTAGATGTGAGATTTGCCACAAAACTTTTGTGAGCGCCAACACGTTAAAACACCATTTGATCGTTCATTCAAGCGAACGTCCGTTTAAATGCGACATTTGTGATCTAACGTTTAAACGTAAAGCATATTTAAACATTCATCGAAATAAGCATACGAAACAAAGACAGTACGAATGTAATGTGTGTCAGGAACGGTTTCTATATTCAAGTAACTTGTTATCACATTTGAACAGTCATTCAGGCAAACGGCCTTTTGAATGTCGAATTTGCAAATCGAAGTTTAAACGAAATTCGCAACTAAAATGTCATCAGAATATACATAAGAGAAAGAGCGAGCACGATTGTAATATTTGTCACAAACGTTTTGAATCTTCTAGCAATTTGCGGGCTCATTTGGTCATTCACTCACGCGAATATCCTTATGAATGCAATGTTTGCAATTTGAGGTTCAAACTAAAACAGATCTTCAATGRCCATCAAAAAACGCATGCAAAATAAAAGTAGTTTGAWTATTAGCCTTGTAATAAATTACATAAATGTTCATTTAATTTGCTTGTTCAATTGCTCATTACTATCAAATAGCCAGGTTTTTGAATGAGKCTTTGGCTACTTTCAACGTTAAAAGTTTGAACTGCTCATCRAGTTAACTTAAGCTGATTATTTTGATTTGTAGATATAGAATTAACGGTAGTTCAGAACTGTTGGTCGATGTAAAGMAGGAAATCAAAATCGARGAACTGGACTGGGYCCAAGAGGTAAAAGTTGAAGTGGAATCCGATGATCAAARCGTTTGYCAAGATGACCTTTTAAAGRCATTCAAATGCAGTGTTTGTAGCAAAACATTTGCACGTGTGAAACAACTGAAAGCTCATTTGATAATCCATTCCGAGGAACGCCCTTTTGAATGCGAATTTTGTGATAGAAAGTTTAAGCAAAAACGGGCTTTAAGTAGTCATCGTAACAGACATACGAAGGAAACGCAGTACGAATGTAGCATTTGTCATAAAAAGTGTTTATATCGAAGTGCTTTGGCTTATCATTTGAGTACACACTCAATCACAGAAAAGTGTGCATATTGCTACACGAAGTTTGAAAATAAAGAGCGATTAGCTCAACATCTAGATACATGCCCTAGCATGCATGCGATAAAATGTGATTTTTGCAGTATGACATTTTTAAGGCAATGGGAGTTAAAAGCACACCTAAATAAGCATGAGCTGGAAAGTAATCGTCTCAATGTTTGTAATGTTTGTCAAGAAAAGTTTTTATCATTAAGCGACTTGCGTTCCCATTTGACCGCTCACTCCGACAAATACCCATTTGAGTGCACTATTTGCAATGTAAGGTTCAAATTAGATAGCGTTTTTAGCGAACATCAGAAGACACATGCCAAATAAAAATAATTCGCGATTTAGAGTCGTAAGAAATGTGTATGTGCAGTTTACGCATGTTTTCAAATCTTCTACACAGTCAACTTACAATGACGAGATATTATTCTGTTGAGATTGCTCTAAAACATTAAGAAATTTCGTTTCTACCCGCTTGTTTCAAACAAAGCATTTGTGGCAGCTACAACTGTTATATAATGACTATGATTTGGCCTTTCAAATTTTATAATCATCGTTTTACCGCACTAGTGTTTTATTAATATCTTAAGTGAAATTAAGTGAAATTGACCTCAAGGTAGACATTTTTAACTTGAAAAACATACAATTACATGGAAAGTCACATAAGTGCGTTAATAATATAATGTGCTACGTATTACGTACAATATTTGATGATGAGTGAACCATAACGATTATTCTTTTAATGAGTATTTGAGTAAAAGTAATTAGTTATAAAATTGAATACAGAACACCGGTAATGAAAATTTATCATTGTCATCAGAATCATTGTCAAAGTTGTGTTTTAAAATTACACATTTTATAATGAGTTCAAGCGATGATCCAACGTGATATTGGGAAAGAAGCGTTTAATGTTGTTTCGGATCTTGTGCCAGCGAAACCACGGAACAAATACCAAAAAGCTTTCGATTGGTTCCAGAAATGGTGCAGTGAACGAAAGGTACTCAACTTAACAAGCGAGAAAGGATTATTAGTATATTTTAACAAAGTAAGCAAAATACATAAACCTTCATCCCTTTGGTGTTCGATGTTCTTTGCGATCAAAGCTTATCGGTTATTTATTTCTTCCGTGATTTATCTGGCACAAGATTCGAACAACATTAAAAGCTTCGTTCTCAATATCAGGTGGCAGATCATCGCTTGAACTTATTTTAAATGTGCAATTTTAAGGCACAACTTTGACAACGATCGACAGATTTATTACCGCACTAGTGCGTAAGTCAGTCATAATTATGTGTACAAACTTTTACAGCAATATAATGAAACATAATATGGAAAATACATGTGCTTTGACTGTGTTTCTTTTTTTCCTATTTAATTTACCATATAAATATGAGCAGTTGAAAATTTTATAAGAGCGCACAAAGTATGTCCGCTATTTCAATGAAATTATACAGGCTGGTTCATGTTAAGCGTTATTAATTGTAACAGGTAAAAGAGGATAAATAAATCAACAGGTAAAAGAGGATAATTTGCATAAAATTGTAGGTACGTCGTCCTGTAATAAACTGCTCACCAAAATGAACGTAGCACAGTCTTTATTGTCCTAACAAGTCTCATTTGTTTGTTAGTAAATGTTTTGATGCAAATTAAGCATCGCAGACAGATTTTTAACAGGGTGGCAAATCAAAACTTGTAAAATTTCAGGAAGTTCGGCATGCTCCTAGCAAAGAAAACGTTTTTTGCATCTCAGCACCAAAAGTTCAAAAATAAACCAATTAGCTCGAAACGGTTTCTGAATTTTTAGGCGATCTCTTCTCTGCGTTTTGCAGCAATGGACATCCAAACACGCGAGACGGGATAAAAGCGCATATAATAGGCGCAGCAAATTGGTTGCGACTCAAGTTGAGTGAAATTCAGTTAGCACAAAAAGTTGTTGCATCTGCAGGAAACAACGATTTTTACTTTTTTAATTTTTTTAATTTTTTTTAAATTTTTTTAAATTACTTTAGTGATTATTGAAAAAATCAACCTATAGCCATCAGAATCATCCTTAGAGTAGAAATCCAACAAAGTTTATAGTTGTGTCGTATTTGGCACTTATGTAAAGAGGAACAAACTTAAATAGAAATCCAACAAAATTAATAACTTTGGATTAATTGGACGACACGCAAAAACAAAAATTTGTGTTTTATCAACAAGCATTGGTCTTAAGACCAATGTTTGTTGATAATTATTTGTTAATTTAATTACGCTGTTTAATTGTTAATTTAATTAATGTTAATTATTGTTGCTTTATTACTCTATGTAAGTGTATCGAATCAGAATGAATATGTATGAAGGTATGAAAATTCTTTATATTGGTCAAGTTGGTAAATCATTAACAAATTTAGCTAATTGTTTCCATTTTTAGATGTCAAATTAACAATGGCCCAGAGCTTTTGGTTAATATAAAGGAAGAAATCACAATCGAAGAACACCACTTGCTGGAAGAGGTAAAAATTGAAAAGGAAACGAGTGAACAAATTATCCATGAAAATCACTTTCAAGATACATTCTCATTGACGTGCAATATTTGTAACAAAACATTAGCAAGTTTGAGAAATCTGAAAGCTCATGCGGTCATCCATTCGGACGAACGCCCTTTTCGATGTAGCATTTGCCATATCGGTTTTAAGCGAAAACAGGGGCTACAAATTCATAGAAATAAACATACGAAGGAAACAGAATACAAGTGCGAAATGTGTCACAAAATTTTTTGGACTTTAAATGGTCTTCGGGGTCATTTGTTCACCCACTCAAACGCGCTTCCTTTTGAATGCGATATCTGCAACTTAAAGTTTAAATTGAAATACCGCTTAAACGCGCATCGCAATAAGCATACAAAGGAAAAACGGTACGATTGTAAAGTTTGTGGTAAAAATTTTTTCTCAGCAAATAATCTAGGTGCTCATATGCCCACTCATGCAAAGGATCGGCCTTTTGCATGCGACATTTGCAAAGCCTCGTTCAAAAAAAAGTTCGACCTAAATATTCATCAAGATAAGCATTCAGACGAAGGCGCTTTTGAATGTAATGTGTGTTATTTAAAATTTAAAATGAAACGGTCCTTAACAAGACACCTAAATAGTATACATAAGAAGACGGATTGGGAATGAGAAAAAATAAATATTAAGTTCATTATGTGTACTTTTATATAATGAGTTATTTTTATACTTTATAGTGTTTATATGGGGCCTATCAATGACATAAAGACAGTTTTCACCCATACAAACGTTCGAACGTTAGATTCGTAATATTTTTTAATGATAATGCCACTCACGTGTTTGTGGTTCACTGAAACCTTAAAGGACCGTTTACACGCTCAAGCCATCTGAACGATTTGGCTTGCGCAAGCCAGATCTGTGCAGATAAACTGAACGAAAATCTGGCGTTTACACGTTCAGTTCGTTTTACACAGTTGTGATATAATGTGACATAAAACCAACAAAGTGTATCTAATTTCAGACTAATTTGATGATGTGTTGAAAGAGAAATTGTCATCTTATCACCGAGAAATGGTTTTAACTTTTAATATTGTATAAAATTCAATTAGCTTTATAAAGTGCTTTTGGATAAGAAATAATGTGTACGTTGTAATCACACATATTTTGTTTTAATTATTTATTATATTGAACTTCCTATGATAGTACCATATTAATATACATACCCGATACCCCTAAACATTTCTGTTTACGAACCGAACGAATTATAAATTCTGCAATCCGAAAAGGTTGGTCAACCGAACAGGCTTTCCAATTTATCTGTTCGGATTGTCCGTACATTTATGTAATTAAATATGTTTTATTTTAACTATTGCGAAAATGTAACGCGTTCAGATATTATTACATCAAGAGTATTTACAAATACAGATACAATTAGTTAATCACTACCACTTTTAGCTGACTATTTTTATTTGTAGATGTCAAAAGAACAATAGTTCAAAGCTACTGGTTGATATAAAAGAAGAAATAATAATAGAGGAATACCATCTAAGCGAAATGGTTAAAATTGAAATGGACACCGATGACGAAACCATTCAACAAAATACCCTTCTAAACGCATCGCCATCTTCATTCAAGTGCAATTTCTGCAGCAGAACATTTGCACGTATACAAAATCTGAAATCTCATGTGGTCATCCATTCTGACGAACGGCCTTTTGAATGTGATGTTTGCAATTTAAAATTCAAAAGGCAAAAGACCTTAGCAGCTCATAGGAAAATTCATACGAATGGAAAACAGTACGAATGCAAGATTTGTCATAAACACTTTTTAAATGCAAGATATTTGGTATCTCACACAGCTACTCACTCAGATGAGCGTCCTTTTCAATGCGATATCTGTAACTTACAGTTTAAAACTAAATCCCGCTTAAATGCGCATCGAAAAAAGCATACAAAGGAAAAACGATACGATTGTAACGTTTGCGGTAAAAAATTTTACACAAAATACAATCTGAATTATCATTTGGTAAGTCATTCAGACAAACGTCCTTTCAAATGCGATATTTGCGATTCCAAGTTTAAAAAGAAGAATCATTTAAATAATCATCGAAACAAGCATACAAAAGAAAAACAATACGATTGTGAAATTTGCCATAAGATTTTTTTCTATTTAAGTGGTTTAGTTTCACATATGACCAGTCATTCTGACGAACGCCCTTTTCAATGTGAGCAGTGTCCTCTGAAATATAGACAAAAAAGGGATTTAACGAAACATCAACAAAGACATCACCCAAATTAGTGCAAATTTAATTAGGAAAAACAAATTTTGTAAACACATTTTTGTAAAAGATC